TTTTGTAATAGAATTAGCAAGGAATGTAGTATTGGAGGATATGTATACTAAATTATTTTTTAATGAGGTACTTTTAATTAACTTTTTTGCATTTTCTACTGAAACGGCATCTATTTCGAGTTTTGAAATTACATCTTCAATGACACTAAAATTGTCGCAATAATATGCAGCAGCTTGTAACCAAGTACCCCAACGAGTTATCACCGGCTTTAGAGGAAGAGGTGTTTGAGGATAATTTTCTTTAAATATATGTACACAACTGGGTGCTTTCAGGAAAAGTTTTTTAATAGTTGATATCAAAAAATCAACTTCGGGAAATTCTGATCTTATTGTTTCTGCGACACGATGGAAAGCGTGTGCAAGGCAGGTCACGTGAATTAATTTAGGATAAAATACATTTAAAGCTGTTCCAGCTTTCACCATATAAGGTGCTGCGTCTGATATAAATAAGAGTACTTTATTATGCAAAATACCATTCGGCCATAGGATACCCAAAGAATCGTTGACAAAACGAGCAACTGTTGAGTGGTTACATTTTTCAAGAACTTCAGTATTTAATAAATATGGCTTTGAAGCACAATATGAATTTAACTTACCAACAATTATATTTCCTATGTACCTTCCTTCTACATCGGTGGTTTCGTCCATGGAAACCCAGATAGGTCCATTTGAAATATTTTTTCTTATATCATTCAAAGTTTTCTCGTATAAGTCAGGTAAATAATTCTTCCTTAGAGTGCTTGCATCAGGTATTTTACTGCTTATGTATTTTTTGAGAAATTGACGAAAATTAAGATTATCGAGTTTTCGCAATGGTATATCTGCTTTAATTAAAGCTGTGCATAAGTCATTGTTGAAAGTTGATTTACTGGACGATGAAGTGCATGAGGTGATGAATTGTTGTTTTTTTTTTGTCTTTCCGAGTTTATTTTCTTTATGAATTGCGGTTCCTATGTGTTGTGTAACTTGAAAGCGCTGAGAAGTTGATACGGCTTTATTACATGCATCACAGAACAAAATATTTGAATCGCCACGAAACATTTCGTCCGGAAAATCTTGTATGTACTTCATTACGAGATCTCTTTTTTTAGGAACAACTTTCGGCATTTTCAATTAAACACTGATGCAACTAAAAACTAAAAATACGAAAAAAATAAAAAAAACACGAGGACACCTTTACAACGTTTACACGACTTATAATGAAATGAAATTACTTTTGACGAAACGTATACAACAATGTATCACACTGCCGGCGAAATACAATAATATGCGATAAGTTATCGCCGATAACAATATATCATATGTACAATAGACTTTACCACGAAAAAATATTTTTAGCCATAGATTATACGATAACGTGTTGCGGACTGTGGACAGTCGCAACTTACGACGATTAATAGCGGGGGCTTGACTAGAGAAGATGACAACACAAAATATAAAACGGCGATAAATTGCTAATTTATTAAGTAGCTGAATATTTAACAAAAATATGTAATTTAAGTAAATTATGTAATAATATGTAAGTAAGTTTAAATATGTAAAAATATGTAACATCAACCATAGCTTAAAATAATCAGATAGTCCTGTAACATATTTCTATAAAGAAATCATTCAATTTTTATTATTTGTGACTAATATGTAAATACATACTAATCCGCACCCTAGTAATAACTTAAACTAATCATTAACTTAAATATCATAAACTTAAATGAATCATTTGACGTATCGTTGAAAAAAGTAGGTCTAGTGAGGGTTGGCAAAATAAATTGTAGCCACAAAAGAACCACATAGTAAAATAATTTTAACATGAATATCAATTTCTTCTCAGGAGGGGAAACTATAGAGATAAGATCCTTTATATTTATTGAAATTATTGAATCTAAATGAGATAAATATCAAATGATTTGAAAATTCTATTTTAACTCAAAAAAAAAATGCAAAATTTTGGTAGTCACAGACGGATGTGAACCTCGTACCCTAGACGTGAAAGATTTTGATGTTACCCATTCGGCAACTGTTCGTTGCTTTCTGTTGCATGATAAAATTGGCTATTTAAGCTAACTCAAATTTAAAAATTACTTTTTCGACTACAACAAAAAAGTAAAAAAATTTTAATAAGTATAATTTCATATGTCTCATGAACTTTATTCTATGTCAATGATATTATATAATATTCATGAAAGTCAGTTTATTCCCCTAATAAGATATTTTAAAATAAAATAAAATACAAAACCCAGAATTTTAATAAAAAAATAGCATATTTTTGAATACGGTAGCCTTTTGCGCATAGAAGATAGGTCGTCGGGACAAATTTTTTTTTTCATTTAGTAGTACATAAAATAAGCTTTAATTTGATTTATGTTTAAAGGACGCAGTATATCCGGAACATTTTCAAAAATTAAGTTGAAAAAGTTAGTTTTTGTAAAAAAGTTGCTATTTTAATTCCCCCCTGTGAGCAGAATAAGTGTTAGATTTTCAAAAAAAAATGATATCAAATGAAAGGAAATTACCTAAGGTTTCAATATAAAGAAATATTATTTTGATTAGTTAATATTTAAAAAAGTTAAGGGAGTTTTAAGTACAAAAAACATTCCGATAGAAGGTGATTTTTATCGTAAACATAACATTTTTTTTTAATTTCGACAGCCATTTGCACATAGAAGATAAGGTGTCGGGACAAATTTTTTTTTTTCATTTTATAGTACATAAAAAAAGCTTTAATTTGATATATGTTTAAAGGACGCAGTATTTCCGGAACATTTTCAAAAGTTCAGTTGAAAAAGTTCTATTTTTTATACAATGTTTCAAAGTTTGAACCCCCCCTATATAAGGGGAAATTGTCTAATTTTAATAAAAAGTATGTCAAATGGAAGATGTACTTATAATGTATTTAGAAAAAAAAAAATTGTGCTGATACATACATTTTTCGAAAAGTTATAGCATTTTTAGTTGAAAATTAAAAATCGAAAATTTTAACACAAAAATAGTGTTTTTTTAACTACGGCAACCGTTTACATGCAGAAGATAAAGTGTCGGGACAAATTTTTTTTTTTCATTTTATAGTACATAAAATAAGCTTTAATTTGATATATGTTTAAAGGACGCAGTATTTCCGGAACATTTTCAAAAATTAAGTTGAAAAAGTTAGTTTTTGTATAAAAGTTTCAATTTTAAATCCCCCCCCATGAGCAGGCTAAGTGTTAAATTTTCAAAAAAATTATATCAAATGAAAGGAAAATATCTAAGGTTTTAGTTTAAAAAAAAATTATGTTGATTTGTTGATTTTTGAAAAAGTTATGGAAGTTTTAAGAAAAAAAAGTGAAAAAAATGACAAAATTTGTCGATTTTTAAATTTGTAATTTTTTTGGATATTTCCCCCATTTGCGGGGAACGAGGGAAAATTTTTAAATTTTTAAGGGTAATGTCTTCAACTAGATACAATTTGTGATCTTTTGACGTATTGTTAAAAGAAATCGGTCCAGTGAGAGCTGAGAAAAAGTAGTGACAGACAAAAAAAAAAAAAAAAATAAACACATCATGGTAAAATTAATACCTTCTCAGCTTCGCATCGAAGCTAAAAAATTACAGGTAATTATATTCTTATCATTTTTATTATCTGAACAATTGCCTATCTTAATATGTTAAAGTTGAGCAATTTTAGACCAAATTTTCACTTATTTAAAAATACGGTATCCTCATATTTCTATACTGTCCAATTAATCAATTTTTATTGACTAAGACATAAACAAATAAGATAGCAATTATTTATCAATTGGTATGGAACATTTTCCTGGACATCTATTTATTTATTTTTCATTAAGGATAAGACACTCATTTTCTCTGTAACTATTGAAAATATTTAATTTTTGGTAAGGAATATATTGTTTGATTCAAAAAACTCTGCAATAATATGTAGTAAAAACAAGATTTTTTTCATCCCTTCAAGGTTAAAAAAAATTAACTTAAGTATTTTTAAATAGGAACACATATTTTGAATTTAATAAAATGTTTGAGTTTTTAATTTAATAGTAAATGGCATTTGAATTTTTAGTATAACTTTATTTGTTTATGAGATATAAACATCTAGTTTCAAATTTTTGAGTTAATTATGACTATCAATGGATATACTTTATGTATTGTCAGTTAGTGTATTTATTAACTCATAACATTGTGCCTTAATACCTTATTACCGTCATAACAATGCTGTGAGTTAATAAATACACTAACTGACAATACATAAAGTATATCCAGTGTTTAAAATCTTTTACCAGTAAGATCAGTCATAGACTTTGTGTAATTAAATCATATTATTTAAAAGCTTGAATCGTTTTTGTAAGTTTTATATTATATGAACTATATGACGTATAGTGTAAATCGTATACGTATTGCACTTAATACCAAAATCAACGTTGGATTACTTGAAATATTATTGCATTACAAAGTATGTAAGGTAAGTATAATTTAATCTATGCTTTCGAACCTCCAATCTATTGCGTAATAAACCATTGAAAATTAATAAGAGAAACAATTAATGAGAAAATAAAAAATATTTAATAATATATAAAAATAATTATACTATATAATAATTATTTTTTAATTTTATTGTATTATAGCTTCTGGAGCTGCCGTCGCCGCTATTACTGAAGCCGCCACCTCCGTTGATACTGGACCCGCCACCTCTGCTGATACTGGAACCGCTACCTCCGCTGTTACTGGAGCCTCTGATACAAAACAAAAGAAATCTATTAGAAATTACCATACAACTATAAGATAAGAATCTTATTATTGAACGACTTATATCAAGCCATAAAGTTAAAAATTATAACCACCTTTCTTGGGGCACTCTATTTCCTTATGGCCGATAGCTCGGTAAAAATTGCAATCTGAAATTGATAAAATAATTATTATTATCATTTTAATATAATAACTTAAAATTTTCAGCAAAATGATAATTAGATTTAATATTAAAAGAGTTGTCAGTTTAAACAGATATGTCCAGTATAACACATTTTATCTTTAATTGTTAATTATTAAATTAATTATTCAGTTGATTAAATTATGTATAATTGATTGAAGCATTTGAGTTTTTGAATTTCTATAATACATAAAAGTATTTAAATTATTTCAATTGTGTTTAATACTATCAATTTATTACATTTAATAAAATTTATTAAATTAGATAATAAATATTGCTATTTTGCTTTTCATTATACAATACACATTATAAACTAAATATTTAAATAAAAAATGTCATCTTATTTTTTGTTATTTATTCGTAAATTCAATGAGGTAGGTTTGTAGGTTAATTTATTATTATCATATAATTGAGTATTCATAGGTTCAAAATAGTTTTATAACTTTAATGTTTTTAATAGTAAAGTTAGTCAATCACTCTGTATAAGTAACACTATGTTAAGTTGATAAAAATAAATCATTAAAAAATAAATAATACCATTTTCTTTTACTTGCATCATAAATTTTTCCATTTAATTAATTAAATTACTAAAACATCTTGATTTTACAAAAAGAAACTATTTAAAAAAAATATGATAATTATATAAGTGATGTTGAGACTTATTTTACAAAAACACTTAACTGACAAATTTAACATTATTTTTCATTATTGCATTATTAAATGGTTGTGTGCTTCACTAAAGCTGTCGTTAAAACAGGTGTAAATAAAATTGGAAGTTAAATAAAAGAATAAATTAGTTTATTCTTATTAGAAAGAATTTATCCATTATTCAATACTTCTCCAACTATTAAAAATCAATTTACTTTAATAAGAATTAGTCAATTGTGGCCAATATTATTTAAAATATTAATTTAAAACTAAAAAATATTAAACACAAAAATTACTTAAAAAATTTTAGTAATATTTATTTCAAATTTAATAATTCTCATATAGTGTAATGTTCTTCTTTCTCCTCTCGTTTATCCCAACTACTTGAATTAAGTATCTATTTTTCAACTAAAAATCTTAATCCTGGCATGATTTAATATTATACTAATTTTACCGCTGTAGGCTCCCTAATGGATGTTCCTAGTCAGGAACATGATATGGAACTTTTCTCCTTAGTTCAACTGTAGTTGACTGGTATTAAACCAACTTTATTGTATTTAATTGTAATTAAAATAAATTTATTTTTATTGTAGTTAAAACAAAAAATTTAAGTAATTGAAAGTAAAATACTTGTCGAATAAAATGTATAAATACTTACATCCTCTAAAAACTTTAATTTTCCAACCTCCTCTTCTTACTCCTCCACGTCAATCGCGTACACCGCGACTGCCATCGATTACTATACCCTCCCTCGCGTAATTATTTAGATATATGTTCATCTAAAATACAAGCATTCTTATTAATTTGATAGATAAAAATAGACATAAATTTCTAAAAAAGGCAGTTAAATTATTGTAATAAATAAAGATTAGTTTTTAATATAATTCTTTAGTTGTTTTACTTACAGTTATATTTTTACGAATATAAAATTTGATGATTATTTATTTATAATTATTGTATGATTTTATGAGATTTGTAATTTTTATATTGATTAAATTATTAAAAACTTACATAGTTACAAGTTATAGTATAAACAGCAACTAATACATACATAAAATGTATACATGTATAAAAAAATATATGCTACGTATTGTTTGAAGATGTAGTAATATAGCGAGGTGTAATATATATAGAAGTAATAAACACTTTTACGATTTTAATAACAACTATACTATATTACAACGAACTAACAAATAACAGCGAGAGACGAAGCGCGTTTAAGACAGAGTGCGTAAGTGATTGACTGATCGATTGATTGATTGGAGCGACGATCTTGCCCTTAAATAGTCAGAGGAATCTTCTAGAGGCGGCGGCGGAACTCTCTAGAACATTCGACCGCCACACGCTTATGTAGAGCGACGAATCTTCTAGAGGCGGCGGTGGCCGAACATTCTAGAACATTCGACCGCCATAGTAATTATATTTTTTTATAATAGACTAGTTATCCTTTGTATTTAACCACATTTTATTACATTATTATTAATATCAATAAAAAAAAATGTTGGTAAAATAAAAAATTTGCCTTTATAAATAAGCTAGAAAAGTTTATTTTAAAGAAAAATCTTAAAAGCAGCAGTGTATTTTAAAATATTCTCACTGGGCGACTAAAATGTCTTTTCCTCAACATAAATATCCAGTTATGATTATTACAAATTTTATTTTAATTCATGTGTAATTCCCAGTTAGTATAGGAAAGGCCGAAAATAAAATTAATTAGGCCACAAAATAGAATCGTCGAAAGACATCAAATTTTTTTTATTTTACAAATAATTTTTTTTTTCATAATTAGTATAGTTGAAAGTACAATATAAAAATTTATTCTAATTTCAAAGGTAAACTAACCGTTTACATGGGCATTATCAAATCACATTAATTAAAACGTCCTAATATTTATAGATAATATGAATTTTATTATAAAACTAATTATTTATTTATATTCATAAAAAAAAGGGCATGATATAGTGCAAAGGTTTATTCGAACATCGCCTTAGCACTTACATTCAATTACGCTATTTGCTATTAGTTCCCGGATGGGTGACCAACGAGAACAATGACAAACACCTTGTTCCATGATGAGATTGTATCAGGTCGACATCCGATATAAAAATTATGTCAAATCGTAAGATAGAGCTAACCTCAAAAAGTTGGAAAAGAAGCTAAGGAGATGATTATTATAATCCTATTGGAATATCATAGAAGCAAATAGTGTTTTGAGCTTCGGGTGCGAAAGTTCGCATATTTTTTCTTGCTGTGTGAAATGCAGGCCCGTATTTAAGGGAAGGCTCGGAGGGGCAATTGCCCCTGGCGGCAATATTAAAATTAGGTTTAGGGGCGGCAAAATATTGAAATGGTCAAAAATGTAAAATTTATTTGTAGCTCATTTTACCTAATGAGTATAATCATTGATTATAGATAGAGATTATAGATATTATATACTATCTATAATCAATGGTATAATACAAAAATATAATATATAATTAGTATAATAAAAAAATAACTATAATAATATAATTATACCAAAATAGATTTTGAATGTAGAATGTACCTAATAAAGTTCTGATAAAGTTTTTATTCGTTATCAACTCGAATGTCAATAAAATGCTTTGGGCATATTGATGTTGTAAACATATGATTCGTATTTAGTTCTACGAATCGTAGACTATGAAAAATACATACTAAAAATAGAAAATATACAATTGGGGTATTCCCATGATATAAGGAGCTACGAAACTACGACTGCCGATTATTGACAATTTACACTACTATTAAGTATTATTATTTATTATAATATTATCGATAACAAAAATCAAAATACAATTATTAGTGCATTATTCATGAACGAGTACTGACGTGGTGTCGTGGTCTGTTAATCAATCTATTTTAACTATTAATTAATATTATACATTTATACTACGCGTGTATATTCAAAACAGTAAGTATTATAATTTATCATTGATTTTAAAATATTATAAAACCAATAGTATTATATGGTATTTAATATTTATATTGTAGTAAAGACTATTATGATTAATTATTTACAAAATGTTAATTGTGCTTTAATTCTAATAGTTAGAAAAAAAACAATTATTGTTCTTAAGAGTTGCGGAATATTAGTTACGATATAATTTTTCTCATATAAGTCACGAATTTACATTTTGAATAGGTCGGTACATTTTATATTTGTAATAATGTTTTATACCTATTTTACTTAGTTATGGCTCCAAGAAGAAATAGGCTTAGTGGGGCTGAATACAAGAAAATAGCTAAGCTCAAAGAATTTAATTTGAATAAAGTTGTTCAAAAAACTATTAAAATCGACACGATGTTCAAAAGTAAGTATTTTATTTATGTTCACTGTAAAGTAAACTAATAATAATATGAAATTTATATAAACACATAATAAGTTTAATTTTTTTTTTTTAAGAAATCAAATATTATTACACCAAACCAATCTTAATTATTATATTATTGCGGAAATTTAAATAATTAAATATAACAATTGCTTAAAAGTTAAATATTATACTCCAAATTATATGAATTTTCTTATTAGGTAGTTTTTAGTTATTTCATTATTATATAAATCAGGTATTCAGATATATCGAATAAAAAAATGTGTTGTATTTAAACTATGGTTAAACACAACTAGTATTTTTATAATTTTTGATTATATCATTATATATTTCTACTCAGAGTCAGGTATGGTTAATAAATCTACTGAACAACGTCAAGCTGGCCTTACAACTCTTTGTAATAATTTGGATACAGAACCTCCATGCGTGTCAGAGCATATAAATATTTTATTAGAACCAAATTCTACTGATATACCTGGGTAAAGTTAAAACACTGTAATTAAAATTATATTTTTTAAATAAATTCTTACTTTACTTAGTTTTTGACGATTATCTTCATTAGACATTTTTAATTATTTTATTAGAATTAATTTTATACAAAATACAAAATAATAATAATAGGTAAAATAAGTAAAAATTTATTAGGTTAAATATTCTAATATATTAAATGCATTTATATGTTATTCTTATTGTAACTATTTCTAAATTAATAAGTAATTTTCATTTTTATTTTTATTTAAGATTGGATCCAGCATTGTGGAGTATAAATGAACAAACGAGGCAATATATCTGTAAAAATGGATTTAGCCAAAATCTAGATGTTAAATTTACAGCTTCAAAAAGATTGTACAGAGTTGTAAAGAAACGGCATTTCCGTAACTATTTTAGATATCTGAATATAGATTTTTTCAAAACTGTTTTAATCAATGGTGAAACATGTCAAAGAAATTATTTATCTTATTCTGAGAGTACTGGGTCAATTTATTGTGTTCCATGTCTCTTATTTGAGAATAAAACTAATTTTTCAAAAAAAGGATTTTCAGATTGGAAACACCCTAAAAAAATTTCTTACCATGAAAATTCACCTGAACACAAACTATGTTCTTATAAAATGAAAGAACTTGCATCAGATTTAAGTAAAATAAATTCAAAACTAATACATCAAATAGAAACCGAAAAAAAATATTGGATAAGTGTACTAACCAGGGTTTGTTCGGTTATTAAAAGTTTGGCAAGTCATGGATTATCATTTAGAGGTGATGTAGAAAAATTTGGATCATCTACTTCAAATACTGGAAATTTTATTATGATGATGGAATTACTTGCAGAGTACGACCAGTTCTATCAGAACACATATCTAAGTATGGTAACCCTGGCAAAGGTAATACTTCCTACTTATCATTTTCTACTTATGAAAAGTTCGTTAAAGTCATGTCTGAAAAAGTCATTAATACCATAGTTGATGAAATTAAATTATCGAAATATTTTTCTATCAGCATAGATTCCACTCCAGATATATCACACTCTGATCAACTGTCTTTCGTTATCAGGTATGTGCTATCAAACGGTGAGCCAATTGAAAGATTTATTGGTTTTTTAGAAAATGTTGGACATAAATCAGAAAATCTAGCAGAATCAGTTTTATCAGTTTTAAAAAAATATAATTTAGATGTTTGTTATTTGAGAGGTCAATCTTATGACAATGCTAAAAATATGTCTGGTATTTATTCAGGAGTTCAAGCAAGAATAAAGCAAGTTTCACCATTAGCTGATTTTGTACCATGTTCGGCACATTCTTTAAACTTAGTCGGATCGTGTGCTGCAAATTGCTGTAAAGAAGCAAATGATTTTTTTCTTTTTATTCAAAATATATTTGTATTTTTTTCTTCATCCACACATCGATGGCATAAATTAAGTCAATATTCTATCTCAACTGTAAAAAGTTTATCCACTACACGATGGTCAGCAAGAGAAGACGCTTGCCATAGCTTAAAAAAAA